TTAATTAATTAAAATTATTTATGTATTAATAATATTAAAATATATATTAATTTTTATAATTTTAAATACAATTGAATTTTAAAAAAATATATTAATTATATTTTTAACTTAATACAAGTTTTAATAACCAAATCTTTTTCTTTAAAAAAAAAAAATTGTCTTAGACAAGTGAAACCATTTTCAATTAACAAGGACATAGCAGCCCCACAACAGGTAATATATTGAATTTAGTTATCATAATCGTATGCATTCATTAATAAATGTCATGCATGCTATTGCGGGTCCAATTGGTGTTTTGAATCTTTTGACGCAGCAGTTGGTTCAGAACAGGATTACTTCGGCATGAAGATTAATTAACTTCTGAACTACAAATGGTATTTTGCACGTAAACTTCTAATGACTAATATGCATTAATTCAGAGATAGGATCCATGGAATCATGCCTTACTAAATTAACGTTGTCTTTTTTCTTTTATTACTATTATTATATTCTTATTATTCTTTGCTGCTGATTAAAGCTCAATTTGAGAGTTGACTAAAGGAACAGATAGAACTACCCCACACCCAGCACGTTTTGCCTTTTCCATGGACTTTTTTCCGTTTCATTAAAAAACCAGCGAATTCTTGGTTTAAAGATTCAAACTTTTCCCATTGTTATCTTTAAAAAAACAAACCTGGAGAATAGACCATTTTCTGCATGATTTAGCTCATTACATCATTTAGATAGGTATGATTTTGTAGTAAACGGATGAATAAGACACCTCAATAAATATTTTTAACCTTAAAATAATAAGTGAGACTTTCTATTTGCACTTTATATATTATTTTTTTATGATTAATACATTTGATAATTTTTATTTTCAATCAATATTTTTTACGATTTAAAATTCATAAAAATATTCAAATTATTAATAAAGTTAAAGTGTAAATATGAGATTTGACAATTAATTTTTAAAATTTTTTATAAAATTTTAATTATAAAAGTATTGATAAAGAATAAAAATAATTAAAAATATTAACAATAAAAAATAATTTACAAAATGTAAATAAAAAGTTTGACCAAAATAATAAATACGTTTTGAAAAACCGAAATATCTTCAAAAAGAAAATATTAAAGAGAGAGCAAATGGAGCATCATACTTTGCCACTTGTGTCTAGGATTTTTTCTGTAAGTCAATTGTAGTTTAGAGGGACCATGGTTGGCATTAACCAAATTTTTAATAGAAAATGGTAGCAGCGACAGCAATGACAAGTACTCATAAAAATAAATTTCTTTACACAGTTAGAATTATATTAAATTATATAATTTAAAATTAAATGTGATGAATCCCTTAATTAACAATTATGACTTTTCATTTAAAGATTCTTAGTTTATAGGCTGAACTATAAGATAGAGAATTCTATTTATAAATCTGACTTAATGGGGAAGTTGAAATTGAGAACTTATCTGGATTCATGAAGGAGAAATAGATTTTGCATTTTCCTGGTTGGACAGAAGATAGCTTTTACAAGCCAGCTGAATTTATGACTTTTGGCTGAGACTGTATGAGGAAAAGGCTTGCAGAGGAACCACCAATAAAATACCGCTACGCTAACGAAATTAGTTAATTAAAAATTTAATCTTGATCGTTAAAAAACTATTAAAAAATTTACCAAGTAACACAGTAACAGTCGAACAGCACTCGTGCTTTGTTTAGTGAAAGTCAATGTCCTTTCTCACTGTTTGGTGAAGAGCCTATTGTGGAAGATTGTGGAGATGGAGGGAGAAAGAGTCAATGAAAGAGAGAGATTATGAGCTTATCATGCTTGTAGTTTGTTTTTGGATTTACTTCTTTTGTGGCAATTAAGCAAGAGAGAGGGTTGGGGGAGAGAAAGAGAAAGTTTCTTCCTTTTGAGCTGTTTAAGGTGTTCAATGGAGACTTGAATCTTGGAGGTGGAGGATCTCTATGTCCTCTGTATTTTCCTTGAAACCCTTTTGCTCCTTGTTTTTTCGGGTGTCCTGTTGAGGGGTGAGTGGGTTCCTTTGATTTTGGGATCTGGGTTTAGGGTTCTAGGGTTTGAGCCTTTTGACTCCCTCTTTTCCTTTCTTGGGTTGCTTCCAAGTTCTTGTCTTTGCTGTACTTTACTGAAAAAAATGGGGCTTTGACTTTCTTGTATACTTCCAATCCTGTGTTCTCCTTTTCTGTGGGTTTTCACCTGAGATTTTTGTTTGAGCTTATTCCTAGTTGCTCCTCCTCCAGATTGTCCCTGGATTTGTTCTATCCTCTCATTTTTTTGATTCCTTATGGGTTTTTTCTTTGAATTGAATCCATTGCTGTATTTGGGGTTTCCTGATCTGGTGAAAGATTCCTTCTTGCTTCAATACATTAGGGTTTGAAATTGAATCCTTTGGGAAAAAGCTGCTTTCTGTTAGATGGGCTAAAACCCTTCTTCTTGTGAATCTCGAGCTTGTTTTTGCTGTATTCTGTATCGAGATTGTTTGCAGAGGGCTGCTTTGATGCATCTTTCACTTTGGAAGCCCATATCCCACTGTGCTTCTCTGATCTTGGACAGGAAGGGCAGGAGAAGAGATGGGTCAGAATCAGCCGATGAAATCAAGAAGAATTCATCATTTCTCCGCAAACTGCAAGAGAACAAGCTCCGGGAAGCTCTTGAAGAGGCATCTGAAGATGGGTCACTGTTTAAGTCCCAGGATATGGAGGAGCCTGATTCCTTAGCCAATCAAGATGAAAGCTTGGGGCGATCGAGATCCCTTGCAAGGCTCCATGCACAGCGAGAATTCTTACGAGCAACTGCCCTTGCCGCTGATAGGACATTTGAGACTGAAGACTCCATTCCTGATCTCCATGAAGCTTTCAACAAGTTCCTTACAATGTACCCCAAATACCAGTCATCAGAGAAGATTGATCAGTTGAGGTCCAATGAGTATGCTCATTTATCACCTAAGGTTTGCCTTGATTATTGTGGATTTGGACTTTTTTCTTATGTTCAGACTGCACACTATTGGGAGTCTTGTACATTTAGCTTGTCTGAAATAACTGCTAATTTGAGCAATCATGCTCTTTATGGTGGTGCGGAGAAAGGCACAGTGGAACATGATATAAAGACTAGGATAATGGATTATTTGAACATTCCTGAGAATGAGTATGGCCTTGTATTCACAGTTAGTAGGGGGTCCGCGTATAAATTGCTAGCAGATTCATACCCCTTTCATACAAATAAGAAGTTGCTCACCATGTTTGATTATGAGAGTCAATCTGTGAATTGGATGGCTCAGGGTGCTAGGGAGAAGGGTGCAAAAGTTTACAGTGCTTGGTATAAATGGCCAACTCTGAAGCTTTGTTCTACTGATCTGAGAAAGCAGATTTCGAGTAAAAAGAGGAGGAAGAAGGATTCTGCTGTTGGTCTCTTTGTCTTTCCTGTTCAGTCCAGAGTCACTGGGGCCAAATATTCATACCAATGGATGGCACTAGCTCAGCAGAACAATTGGCATGTCTTACTTGATGCTGGTTCCTTGGGTCCCAAAGATATGGATTCTCTTGGCCTGTCCTTGTTCCGACCTGATTTCATTATCACATCATTTTATAGGGTATTTGGGTATGATCCCACTGGTTTTGGATGCCTTCTAATAAAAAAATCAGTCATGGGAAGTCTTCAGAATCAATCCGGCTCTACAGGGTCTGGAATGGTGAAGATCACTCCTGAATATCCTCTCTATCTGAGTGATTCTGTAGATGGTCTTGATAAATTGGCTGGAACTGAAGATGATGAGGTTGGTGTGAATGGTGATAAACCCTCTGAAACTCGCCCTGGATCACAGTTGCCTGCCTTTTCTGGTGCTTTCACATCTGCACAAGTGAGGGATGTGTTTGAAACAGAAATGGAACATGATAATGGTTCTGACAGGGATGGAACGAGCACGATTTTTGAAGAAACTGAGAGCATCTCTGTAGGGGAAGTCATGAAAAGCCCTGTCTTCAGTGAAGATGAATCATCAGATAACTCTTTTTGGATTGATCTGGGTCAAAGTCCATTAGGATCTGATAATGCAGGTCAGTTGAATAAACAGAAAATTGCCTCCCCTTTACCACCATTTTGGTTTGGTGGCAGAAAAATCCACAAGCAGCTTTCTCCAAAGCCATCATCAAAGATATATGGCAGCCCAATTTATGATGACAAAGACCAGGGACCTTGTGAAGATCGTCATGTGCTATCATTTGATGCTGCTGTTCTCTCAGTTTCACAAGAAACAGGCTGTGTTAAGGAGGTTTCTGAAGAAGAACAATTTGCAGGAACAAACAATACTTTAGGAAATAATAAGGATTCAGAACATTCTCAGGTTAATGAAATTGAGGAAGAACGTAGTGCCGGCAGACCACTGCCTGTGGGATCTGTATCAAATTCGGTTATGAATGGATCTCGTCTCAACGGCTCTACTTCTGCCTCTTGGCATGCTAGGCTAGCAAATGGCTCAACTGCAGAAATATGCCCAGGGGTTAAAGAGAGTGCCATCAGAAGAGAAACAGAAGGTGAATTTAGGTTGTTGGGGAGAAGGGAAGTGAATAGATATGCTGGTGGTAGATTTTTTGGTTTGGAAGATGAGCATCCAAGCCAGGGAAGAAGGGTATCTTTTACCTTGGAAGACAGCCGCAAAGAGCGCCCGGCCAATTCTTTGGAGCCTGGGGAAGTGTCTGCAAGCCTTGATGATGAGGACTACACAACTGATGGAGACTATGGTGATGGGCAAGACTGGGACAGGAGGGAGCCTGAGATAATTTGTCAACATCTTGATCATATTAACATGTTGGGGCTCAATAAAACAACCCTCAGGCTTAGGTTTTTGATCAATTGGCTTGTTACCTCATTGCTGCAACTCAGATTTCCTAGTTCTGATGGAGATAGCAGAGTGCATCTTGTTCACATCTATGGCCCTAAAATAAAATATGAAAGGGGTGCAGCTGTTGCCTTTAATGTGAGAGACAGAAACAAGGGGCTAATTAACCCTGAGGTTGTACAGAAATTGGCTGAAAGAGGAGGCATTTCTCTTGGCATTGGCTTCCTCAGTCACATTCGGATTCTGGATAGCCCACGGCGAGGGTATTTCAACCATGATGATACTGCCCTGTGCAGACCTATGGAAAATGGGAGACATGATGGGAAAAGCGGGTTCATACGAGTTGAAGTTGTCACAGCATCTCTGAGCTTCCTGACCAATTTTGAGGATGTCTACAAGTTGTGGGCTTTTGTGGCGAAGTTCCTTAACCCAGCATTCATCAGAGAGGGCACACTTCCAACTGTTGTGGAAGAGTCTGAGACATGATCCTCCTGAAAAGTAATTAATCATTTTGTTCCAGTTCAACAGGGATGAATTCCTGGCCGCTGGAAATGATGAAAAGGGTACAAATCAAGTCTTGGCAAAAGATTCAGAAGCCTCAGGAATGCATGCAATTATTGATGCTCTTCCTCATGACTCATGGAAGCAAAAGCAGGTGAATTTGTTAATTCATGTTGGTTGTTTTGAATTTTTCTTTTCTCCTTTTGGGTTCTTGTAGAGTTGGCTTTTAGAAAATATGTAACATTTTGGAAGTCACCATGATCTCAATCAAAGCAGAATCATATCATACACTTATTCATCACTCAACATTCTGCTTTCACTCTATACAAATTCCACTTTTCTGCTTCTGTATAAAAACAAATTAGCTGATTTTAGCAGATAAATGATGACATTTTAACTACATATGTTTCATAGTTATCTAGTTGTTTCAGTAATTGAACTCTTGCATTTGTTTCAAGCCATACAAAGAGGGTTCTTTTTTCTTTTTCTTTTTCTTTTTCTTTTTTTAACTAGGAATTTATATCTAGTGCAACTGCTGGGGGTGAATGCTGGTTGATAACAAGGAAAACGGGCATTGAGCAATTAATACAAGAACCAACTTAACTGATAATCTCCATATCTTAAATGAACAGAAAATGGATGATGCCGAGTTCCATAATCATCCATCAAGGAAAGAGAAAAATAGTCAAAAGAACTCAAAATTTGAGTAATTTAGGCTCCGTTTAGTATGAATATGGTTTTGAATTATTTGTTCTGGTTTTTAAAAATTTTAAAAACCCTAGAATAAAATTAAGAATTTTTATAAATTAATTAAAGTTAGAGTTGAGTATTTATTTTAAATTTTTATACCAAATAAGTTGTCAATTTTAATTTTAATTTTCAATTCTAATTATTTAAATTTAAAAAATTTAAATTAAAAATCAAAATCGTACTAAATAAAGTATTCTTTTCACACTTGGTCCTTGAGGTCTAGTGATATTAACTATCGGTGCATTCCCGACAGGTTTCGAAAACTGTCCTGTTAAAATATGTTCAAAAAAAATAATAATAAAGTATTCTTTTCAAATACTACTAATCATTAAGGTTGGGCCATACGCACTGAGTTTTGGGAACCCATCCTATTCCTTTTAAATTTTTATGGATTCATGGAGAACTTTTGGTGGGCTTACCAGTAAAAAGGAAAAGGTATGGCATAAAATTGCCGCTACGAGCCTCTTTAGACAACCTGAAATGATACTCAAAGCCTGCCTGTTTTTCCAGGAAACAAACAGAACAAAGAGACACACCTAGGCCACCCTGTATTTTCCAGCAAAGATACGACAATGATACGCGACGTCTTTTTATAAAGGACAATAGCAGATGCCATACCATCTTTGGCACTATTTTGGGAAGTTGCTTTCTTCCTGGTAGCGAAGGAAAGTTAGAAGTGGTGGTTGCTAATTGGAGATGTAGTTGGCTGCCAGATTCGGAAGATTTTCATGTCACCCACTTTTCCCTTTTTGAGCTGCATCCATAATCATATCACCTACTTCACCATCTATTAAATAATTAATGGGTGTCAACTATTTGAGCAACTTAACAGTGTCCTCCTAGTGAAACTATAAGAGATATTAGATTTAGGTTACATAACATAACATGCTGATCAAGTAAATTAAAAAAAAAAAAAAAAACTTGCTTCTCATTGTGCAATGCAACACAAGATGAAAATAAAATATTATTAATACATATAATTAAAGCAAAATGAAAAGTCCATCCATATTGTAAAGCATCTCCATTTTATAAGTTGCAGATGGCAAGTTATTCAAAAAGTTCCGCACTACAATTTACAGCTGACATATAATTTGTTCACTAGTCGAAGTCCTTGCTATCTTGTGCCCAATTGATGCTCAGGAAAAAGGCAGGAAGCATATTCTAAAATCTATGTGATAGCAAGCCAACCAAATCAAATCCAACTAAAATATTGAGAAAGAACGAATCACTTGGCGCCAGATGAATACTGGCCGGGAATGATGGACACTGCACAGATTGATTATCCAATTTTCTAGCTTCCATCATTCCATGTGCTGCAAAAATCAATAAAGTAGGGTTGCTACCACTTCAAATTCTAGGTCATGACTCCATGATCTTTAGTAGAAATGCAGTCTCTAGAGCTGATTCCTTGCACTGCAGGTATCTGTTTTCTTCCACAATATCTGTTGTTAAATTAAGAAGTATAGGATGGTTAGGGTTATATATAGTTTGTTCACGCACTCGTGCAACCCACTTTGCAGCCTCCCATACCCCAAATCTGAAAGATATAAGACGAAGAAACATGTCAAAACACAATAACATAGATTGCAGGAATACATTCACAACTTTGTTCACTAAAATTAGTTAACTGGCTTCAACATCCCACAATTTTAATCAACTCAGATAACCGGAGAAAAAGCTGGTTAAGAGAATTAAAAATTACCGCGTATGGAAAGATGAGGTGACTAACACAGCTGGATAGAGAACATCTTTCTGAATGTTGTCATAAGGAGAATACTCCCTTATGGCATGAAACTCATCAATATCCCCAGGGTACCCAAACTCTTCATAGTCAGCAGCTGTGAGAGGTAAAATAGGATAGAGAAGAGTGTTGGTTGGATCTAAAAAGGGAACCTGAAACAGAGAAGATGAAATGATTTATCTTGAACTAAACAGAAAATCTGCAGAGATCTAAATT